CTAAATATCACTGAAATAGAAAGCACTAATTAAACTCACAACAAAATATCTTGGTTATGATTGAGATTTTAATTAATAATCAATCGACCAGAGATAAATTAGAACTCAGTGGAAGGTTTACTAGTCTTAAACTATCAGGTTGAAGGCTCAATTCCTTGTTTATATTTCACAATGATAAAGACTTGAGGATCAGATGGATGGTTTTAGTAATGCTTTGTTCTCTAAGCCAGATGATTTAATCAAGAAATTTATTGTCATTAAGGGAGATATCATCAGCGTGCTTACTCCTAAATGAAACAGGTAGATTTTAAGTATTTCTTGATTTTCAATGATTGTTCATTTTAAAGTAGTTCGTGATGTGAACTACAAATCGGGCAACTTTCAGAGACCTCTAATACTAATGAAATGTTAAATCAAATTATTCTTGCCATCAATCAAACGCTTTCTATTTACTCTGGTATATATTAATAACAACTTATCCACAATTATAAACACGATTGCTAGTTAAATATAATGTAGTGAACGAGAACACAAGTGGGGACAATAGAATGTATTTGAACACAGAACTACAGAACATCTTACTAAAATCTGAGAACCATACAGTGAATACTTAATTTGCAAAGTGTCTATCAATTGTCTCAAACTTGACTGTTCCTTTTACAAACATCAGTTAATCGTATCAGACTTTATTGTTCCTGGATTTTCATACCAATTGCTTTCTGTCCCCGTTCTTTCCTTCTCGACCTTCTGCTGCCAGACATTCTAATCCTGACTATCGTTATATAACACTCATGTCGATGAAAGTAGCACACACCATAATAAGAGGGACAAGTTTTTATAACACTTTTACCAATGGTAAAAGGTAGCGTATGTCGTTTAAGTTTTGTCATGAGTAACTCTAATAATTAATGCCTTATCGTTAACTATCAGTTGCCATTTACAAGATTCTAAACATATTAGCAAAAATAATGGTTTGAAATATAATAAAATTGCTTATACATATCATGATCAACTGTGTTCAAATACTTTGGCATTGGTTCGACGATTAGGCAATGGACATCGTATGTTAAATTAAATCAAACTAACGGTTATTAAAGATCTTTAAATGTTATTTTAAAAAATATAACATGTATTATGATCAAACTACGTGGGGTTACCTGCATTATTTGTGATGTCTTATAGTTGTGCTTTGTCTATTTTCAAACATCACAACTTTTAGTGAGTGAGTGCTAGTCTATAAATACCCATCATTGCCAAACAGCTTAAATGGAACATTAAAGTACGTCACCCGAAGCTCGCTGAAGCCCAGAAAGCTATAGTTAATCTAAAACAAGGAAGACCAGCTGATCCAGATGTCTTTAAAGATGGTGGTCCAGTTTTAGCGATTAGGTTGACTAATATTTTGGCTAAGATCTGGGAGTTGGACGTGATCTCATCTGACTGGTCACAATATATAAGAAAGGGTCGAAATCGTCCTGTGATAACCATAGAGGGATTAGTTCGACTAATATAGCATCTAAAATACTAGTCTAAATAACCATCTCTCGCCTGATAAAGACTCGTGAACTGCAAACACGAGAAAATCAAGCTGGCTTCAGACCTGTTCGTGGCTGAATAGACAACATATTCACCGTTCGTCAGGTTCTAGAACACAGGAATGCTTATCGGCGTCCGACAATGGTGGTCTTTCTTGACTTAAAAGCAGCATTTGAGTCCGTAGACTGCGAGATCCTGTGGCAGTGTCTGTCATTGAAAGGCGTACCTCAGAAGTACATAAACCTTGTAAAGTCTCTTTACTCGAACACCACTAGTCGAGTCAGAGCTTATGGCGAACTGTCATCTAGTTTTGCAACCTCAAGTGATATCCATCAAGGCTGTCCGCTTTCTCTATTTTCCTTTCAATTCATAGACCTACTGATGGGAATAACGCTCTCATCGATTGAATTTTCTGGCATTGATCTCCCACCAGGAGGTCTACTTATCGACTTAGAATACGCAGATGATATAGTCCTGTTTGGCGAAGACACTGATAAAATGCAGCCTTTTGATAACACTGAGCAACGATGCCAGGATGTTTGGGATGCGTTTCTCCCCCTCTAAATGCCAGTTGTTGCTTCAGGACTGGCCTGCGTCAACACCTGAACTAAGGATAGGGAGTGAAGTAGTCGACAATTTCGATCACAATTGCGTCGGTGTATACACTCCTTATCTTCCCTTAAGCTATGAGATTAAAATCGTTTCATATCTTTCTTTCTACAAACTAATTCTGTCATCCTGTACTATGTCCTTGTATGCAAATTTTCTTTATATATTACCACCACTGAATTAACTACTTCTAGGAATCCGTGTTCATCTTGTTGTGCTAATGAGGTATGGTAACTTGGACCGATGCACAAATGTGCCTGGTCCTACGTTGTAGCTGACTGTAATTTCATTTCAACCATCTAAATTCATCGGCAACTGCTTGTAATGAATAGATTATGGTTTGATTAATGTTTATTGAAAATTAATATACAGTATTAACCAATTTAACGCAATCATTCCCACATTTTTCTAACTGAATAAACTAAGAAGTAGGTTTACTCACTTTTCGGACAATAGTAAGTTTCAAGACTAAAATCTTTACTTTGCCGAATTGAATGGCCAATTTATATCTCTGAAAATGTATAATCATCAATGTTAGATAGATCCACTGAGGAAAACTTACAGTACATTGTTTCGAAAACACAAAATTCACCATTTTATAAAAAATTCCGTGCCGGTGAGGTTTAATAGATAATGAGTGTTTATCACGTTTAAGACCCATAAAATGTAAAACTGCTTTCTGAACAATATGATTTATCAAAAGTAAGATCAAATTATGGTCTTCGTTAATGAACATTACCCAGATGTACTGGCTGAAAGTTAGGTAACCATATGTGCAGCCAAGATATGATTTCTTTTGTTGAAAAGGTATATTTTAATTAATCCATTGTTTAAAATGATCGTTCGTGCAAAACACTGGAAAAAGTTATTTTAATGTTCATACTATTTAAGTAGTAAAAATATATAAACCACAAATTAATCGAAGAAATGACTTTCGACTAACTCGCGGACTTAGACCATACGTTTTTCAGCTGTCAGTTACAACGTGAGACCAGGCACATATATGCTTCGGTTCAATCTGCCATACTTCAATTAGCACAACAAGATGAACACCGAATTCATAGAAGTAGTTACTTCAATGGTAGCAAGCATAAGACAAATTGGATGATTGTAAGTTAATTAAAATTATTTATAGTCATTATTAATTTACATAGAGTAATTCAAGTCTTAAATCTTTGTTTGAAAAATAAATTGAAACAGGTTGTTGTGATACTGCATAATAATTAGGTCTTTTTCTAAACATGTGATCAATTATATAGACCAGTTAAATGCAATACAATTTTCAAGGGTAGAACGTTGGGTAATGCTAACAAAAACGAAATAATTAGTTGATATACTAGTTTTTGACACTAATTAATTGAGTTAAAGAGACGAAAAACGTAAAATATATGACCATAGTTATTTTCTGAGTGCAATTTTAGACAAGTTGTGTTACACACAACGAAGATGAAGAGTGCATACAAGCATTTTACGGATACATGAGTTAGTGTGAACTCCTAAGGTAGATTTTTGGGAATTAGATAGGCACTTTCAAAAACTAGATTTACACCAATCCTTTGTCCAGTATCGACTAAACGTATAAGAATGAAGTCTCTTTTGCTTTGCCTTTGTTGAACCATTATCATGACACGAAAACGAATGAGTATCAGCGTTTCGAGTCAACATCTAACATTATATTTATGATGAACAGCTTTTACTCGCCAATAAAACTAACCAGTAACCTGCTAAATAGTTGACAATAGGCAGCGATAATTAAACGTTTTGTTTTTTTACTATTATTAATCAGATTCCCGAAAAACACTGTTTGGTAGATTAAGATTAATAAATGATAGACTAATACAACTAACCACAAACAGCGAGAACAGGAGAGTAAAAAATGCAGACATATTGGATTCCCATGGAGTAATAAACTTTCTACCAAAAACGTCATTTCAGTAGTACATCAAAAACACTATCAAATAGAAGCCTCACCAAATCTAAATAAGGGCTGAGTAAATCGTAATGAAGGAAGGGATGTGCATGAAGTCACATCACTTAAGCCTACAAAACATCTAGGATTAACTCGGAATCCAAAAATAGATATTGATCAAGAGAATTAAAGAGGGAACTCAAGCGCACTGTTGATTAGAGATGATACTCAGTCAGCTCACCTAATTTGTTCTTGAATAACTTGAAGCGTATAAAGATAGAGGGAACCAAAATAATGGTTTTATTCAACTTAAATTTAGACAAGTACATCGCGTGTTAATTACATCCAACGTTTTATATTTTGCTGTTACTCTTATTGGAATATCATGTTAAAGCAGGCAATAGCTTGGAGTTCAACAATCCTACTGAGATTCCCCCTGACATTTTCATCTGTGTGATAATGGGGCACAACAGCTTAAATCGATGTAAACAAGCGCCAGGTTCCACGTTGCGTACGACTGACTGACTGACCCTAACCATAAGAAAAGTGTACTGAATACAGTGACAACCCCTGAGAACTGTACAGATCTAATGGCCAAATTTAGCAACCAAATAGACTGATAGAGTTTCATACTTTCCGAACACCGTTTCACGAATGTTTATAATACGATAAATGGCGTTTTTATATTTCAACTCTCCCTTTAAAAAACGTCACTCATTGTTATTCTATACTGTTCCAAATGGAAAATTTATACAACCTCATCAAGTGTCACATTTGCAATAATGGAAGTATAAAGTAAGCAGTAACAATTTACAGAGCGAATATACTGACCACATGAAGTCGAATTGCTCCTAATTGTATGATGACACTTGGTAAATTGTAATTTAAAAAATTACCGCGGGCAGGAATCTCTAAATCCATAAATGGTTTCAAAAGTGAAAAATTTAAGCACATAAGATTATATTTATATAAAAACAAGAGGATTTCAAAATCCCCTTGAGGATTATTCCTGTACAACGTTCTGAGATGTTATTGCTGGTAAAATCAATAATATCAGGATCTAGCCATACCAGTAAATGAAAATGTTGGTCGAATGCGTTTCGATAAAGCTTTTTCTGTTTCCTGTTTACGTTTGGCTTGAATTTCCTGAATAAATAAAAATTGCAAAAAGTCCAGAATAACATGAAAGTAATTTAGAAAAACAAACAGTCAGCCATCAAAAACTAACTGAGTATATTCTTTTACGACGGTTACTAGCATACGTATAAACCATTTATAATGTGGTAAGCCAATCAGAAGTAGCCTAACGGGAAGGTCAATCGAAGACAATCAAAATTGACCTGAAGGACAAGTGCATTTCAATGGCTAAGAAATGGATTAATTTCCTTAGGAGTAGATTTATATATATATATATATGAATTTTATTTGCTAGTCCAATATACCTTCTCACTCAAAAAGTCAGAGGGTTAGCGCGTAGCACATCGAGTATTAGTATCAGATTTCAGACACCGCACGTAACAACAATTCACATTTATGCTAGGAAAAATCGAATGATATGATATTTGAGTATGGGTACTCGAGAAATAGAGGGTGAAAAATAAAACATCTATGCCCTACTTTTTACCGGTGATTACAACTTTGAGGAGTCGTAGCTATTATCAATTTTAACGGTAGGTAAAACCCAGCATCTGGAAATCATTCTTACCAAAATCCAAACCTTCGTTAGAATTTCTGTAAAATTAACATGTTGGAATGTAGTTAGTCATTATTATTTATTCATTTTTGCACATAAAACTGGATACCAAGATAAGAATGCTCCATACAAATGTCGAGATGACATTGTGAAGGGTGAAAAAAAGGATAGGAAGGTAATAAAATCAAAGGGAAAAACGGAAAATGAGTGAACATAAGTGGAATATGATGAGGGAGATCTTTCAGTTAACAATACAACCGAGGTAGATCCTTTCATTTTTGAAAAAAAAACTACAGCAGGTTCACCAGTAACCAGTAGCTTTTGTTCTGAGTTATAAGTAGTTAGTTAAGTAAATGAACTGTATATTACCCCAGAAGATTATGGTCAGTAAGAACTGAGATGTGTCAGATACTGCTTGTCGCTAACCATGAAACATTCCAACACCATATTCAACAATAACACGAAATGAGGTGGTGAGCACTAATTTGATATACAATTTTACCATGAAATTATATACATATGTGGATTGCTTACGCTTATCCAAACCCGTTATTTCGAGACGTATATTGGGTCTTGTCGAGGATGTGCGATCTTCAAGAACAACTTATGAGGAAGGAAATCAGTATCGATTTGATGTGAACACATTTTTGTCACATTACTTTAGGAACTTTCAATGAATTTTTATTATGATTTGTGTTTAGTGACAAGTATTTAGTTCATAAGTTCTAATTACTGTAACCGATGTATAGCAGATTGGCTTAAATGTCTTCTTAATTCTACCGATGTCATAACCAACAAAGCTTTAATTACGAAACAGCACTTCTCACTTAAGTTAGAGAGGATAAAAGTAGTCTCATTCATTGTATTGAAATCGGTGTTGCGAAATATTAGCATAGCCCACGAACATATTAAAAACTGACTTTATTTTTACAGTAGATTGAGTAAGTTACTCTTAATTCATAATTCAAACCCCGATAATTTCCACAGAATCCATTAGATCATTTTCAAATGAAAAACATAGAAGGTTTCATTGGTCGATATTTACGAAACCACAGAGCAACAAATATAAGTGAAAAGGTGGTATTTTTGTCATGATCGCCTCAATCTTTATTTCCATAAATTATACTTATTCGGTAACATCCACTCTTATTTTATATTCCATCATTTGTCTATTCCCTTTTATTCGCTTACTGTGTAATCCTTTATTTTTCAACCCACAAAAGCTCGCCCATAGTGGAAATTCTGTCCTATATAAACGATCTCAAGTCACTGTGTTAAGACGCATGGGCAATCAGACATGGGTCAGAAGAAAAGCCGATGGCGATCCTGTTATAATTTTCTTTTACTTTCTTCATATAAGAGGATAACTTCTTCAACTGAAAGAATCCTTTCCGGTTGTATTTTTCTTAACTGAACTGCTTCTCTAATCACTATTACCATTTTCTGTCCACTTCCACACACTAATTTCTATTTGTTTTCGTTCTCTTTTTATCATACTCATCTTTTATCAATCTCATTTTTGTGTGGCGCATGTATATTTTGGTGCTCCTTTGTGCCAATGTTCGTGTTGAAACAAATAATCTCTAATGATCCTCTCGCTAACTACAGAATAGGTGTGATGGACAGTTCGCTAAACTAAGATAGTATCGGGGATGCTAGATCCCCAGAAATCGCTCAGTAAGCGTCTTATTTTTGTAATTTTATTTTGGAATTTGAATTTTTCGTTTTCGCATCAAGAGCGCCCATTTTTACCCTCAGATTCTACTTCCCATTTGGAGGGACCCTAAATGTCATTGGCTTGTTGCCTTTTATAATACGCTATTTTGTGGCATTTCCTAACGACTTTTATTACATATATATATATACTTGAGTTGTGTGCTTGGTTCGTTCGTGCTTCTGCCGATCTTAGGTGACCTCGTAATCTCTTCAAACATAGTGGATAGCTTGGTGTTTTGAAGATAACTATGGAGTTGTGTGCTTAGGTCGAAAGCATAGCCACATAAAAGGGTCACATGGGTGGCACCTACATATTAAAAATAAGGTGATCATCTTTTACAGTCTTGGGCAGATCACAACCTATTTCTAAGAAGAACCAACCTCCAATAAAGTAGCCACCAACAAGCTATTTATCATCTGTATCTTTAACTATGAGTGGTCAGCCATTAGAAACAGTCAAGATGATCGAAAATCTACGTTGATGGTGGTGTAATAAAAGAGATCTATTATCGAACAGGGCTGTGTGACATATACCACCCTTAATCACTTTTGCTGCCTTCGCAATGTCGGATATACAACGCCATGTGGATAGTCCAATATTATAGCTGAAAAACCTGGTTTCGTTTGAAATAAATACTTCATAAATTATTTTTTGGCTGTAGTTTGCCTGTTAACACTACAAAAGTATCCATGGTTTTAAACAAATAAACTTAAGTTCAACATTGACTCACCATAAGTTCTTCATGCTTTTCACGGAAGAAGGCTAGAGGATCATCGAACTCTCTGTAGTAATCTAGCACAAGGCGAACATCATCTACACTCCCCATTGCAATCACTGGAAAATTATGAATAATTAAGAACAGAGGAACATATGATAAGGCTAGTTGACGAGCATTTGAAAATGTAACAACCGGTAAACTAGAGCTGAAAGGAGAGGTAAATTTCACCAAGTTTCAGAACGAGACATTTAAATAGTTACTGACTACGATTAGTTGATAGCGGTTGACTAGTCATCATGAGTTTGTCTTGTAACTTCAACCTGGAAATTAAGGAAGTCCCATTCTTAACCCTCCGATACCGATGGTTTTGTACACGAAAAACCAATGGGCGAAATTGAAATAGGATACATGCTACTAAAAATAGATACCAACATCCTATTCTGTACGGAGGTAAAACAAATATGGAGCATAGTTCTAGATGCGTCATGATTATGTATATTTTGGGGTTGCTAAAATGAGTGAATTTAACCTTGATTAACAGATGAAAAGAAACGATACAATGTCGTTGACTTGATGGAACAAACGTACGATGAATTTACACTAGAGACACGACTAGTCAGCTGGATAGGATTTTTCTCAGTAAAACAACACAATTATAGGCAAGATACGGTTTTATGTGGTTGGAGTCTATCGTAAAGAACTGCGCAGGAAAAGAACTGACCATCTTAATGGTGGCCCTGTATGGACAACACGGGACATGAAAGTACCATAGGGCGATATGGACTAGCAGAAAGAAATGAGAATAGTGGGAAGCTAGCCAATCTATGTACTCTCATTAACATCGTTATAAGTGGAACCATTTTCTGGTGAGACTATAATTTATGGACGACCTTTGGGAACGTCCACCAATTTACTACGGCTAAATGAGGGTTATAAAGCAGTTTGAAGAATAAGGACCATGATTTACAATTGATGGTTAAGCTTAGGAATTAGATTTATGGTTTTCATCACGAACTGAAATCAGCTTAAATGCCGAAACGCTATTTAGATAAATGGGTGAAAATTTTTCGCGCCAAAAACCAAGACCGGTTATCCTAAATCTGTTTAGTTTGTCCATAAATTATAGTCTCCCCCAGCTACATGGGTTTCAACTGATAACACTACAAACCAATCATACCTGAATTAATAAAGACTCTAGAAGGTCCATGAAGGACTTGAGAACAAAGTGAGGAGCTGATATTGGTTCAGATAATCACTTGGTGGTTACTAAGTTGAAACCGAAGCTAAAGAAGCCCTGGACAACTGGAAAGGCAGCATTAAAAGTGTCTATTACAACCTTACTACAACCATCCAACATACCTGGGTAGTACCACTGAAAAACAAGGGGGGTCTAATGCAGAGGCGAAGGCATGGATTGGCAAAGCAAGGGCACCATTCCTACAATTGAAGAACATATGGGACTCAAGACAGCTTAACCAAAACCAATGTGAATTTTCAATACTAACACTAAGACAGTTCTATTGTGGGGAGCTGAAACTTGGAGAACTACAATCATCATAAAAAGGTACAGGTAGTTAAGAACAGATATTGACACCAGATACACCAGATTCATAGACCAGATACTATTAGCAACAACCTACTGTGGCAGAGAACAAACCAGCTTCCAGCTGAGGTGGAAATTAGAAAAAGGTGCTGAAGGTGAACAGGTCGTACCTTACGGAAATAATCAAACTGCATCACAAAGCTAGACCTAACTCGGAATCTTCGGAGAAAACATAAGAAATATAATCCAAAGCACACACTATGCCGGACACAGACATTAAAAGAATAGCACTTGGCAACTGGAAAGGAGAGCCCAGGACGTAGTTGGATGACAATCCCTGATTGGAGGACGTGTGCCCCACGAGAGGTAACAGACGTAAGTAAGTATCCAAGACATAATAAACTGGGGAATGTAAATTTTATTAGTTGCTTACTTATAAACGGAATCAAGGCCTGACTATCAACGTCAATGCTTCCTCATAATATCACAAAGTTACTGATGTTTCAAATCTCTATTTCGCTAAGGGCTGTACTTACTTCTTAGGAAGGCAGCTAAGTCTATCAATTCTCTGTCTGACTCATCGCCATCCCAACGTTTTATAATCAGTGAATTGCGTGGTTGCAACTGAGCTGCAGCAGGATCCCAGTCAACGAACACCACACGAGAGAGATCTCTATTAAGACATGACAGATCCTTGATGTGTTTTCCTCCTTTATAGCGGGTTGCTTCGCGAAACAGTCGAAAGTGAATAAACTGTCCTTGAGGATCCATCTGAGCCAAGACAGGACCTCCAATCTTCGAAACAGTGAAATTACTTATAAATAATACTGAAAAGATTTTGTCAGCGCGTATCCACGCAGTAAGCAGTTACAAACAAAAGCAAATGACTAATAGAAAATAATATATTTGTAATATTCCAATGAGTAGAATTTTTTAAATTTTCCGTTTCGTGACTCAGTATACGCCACTTCTTCAGGGAATAAATAAACAAGTTAAATCAACCCACGTTTAAATAGAACAAAGCAAGAATATTCGGTGCGATCAATTAAAAACAGGTCTGATCAAGTCAATGTCATGTCATTGAGGTCAATGTGGTTTATGTGCTGCATGTTTGTTTATGTATGTTAAAGGATGAAAAAGTGCGAAATTTGTGATACGAAAGGATAGAGTTGAATTTGTGTGTACAATAACAGAACTCCAAAGAGTCTTAAAACAATACAGGATTAAAGTATATCACAAAACAACGAACACCCTTCGAAATAGTTCAGTTCGCATAACAGACTTATGTCTACAAATTAGGATGTGTCGGTTGTGACACCTTTAACATTGTAGAGTCATCTCGTGAAATCTTGACTAGAGCCAAAGAACATCTTAGGTGCACAAGGGAAGCTCCAAATAATCCAATAGAATTGAAAAGACTCAAAATTAGATCGATAGTAGCAGTTCACGCAATTTTCAATAACCATCAAGTCAATATTAAAAACATCAAAATAATACAAAAAAGGCTTTTCCAACTACAAAGAAAAGCGAGCAGCTGAAGCTTTACATTTATTACGTAATCATATCTTCCTCAATAGAAAAAAATGCCTCACTATCTATCCGACCTGGACCATCCATCCGAGCTATCATGTCTGATTCTATTCACATCTTACACCACTATCGTATACACAAATTCAACCGTATCCTTTCATACCACAGACTTCGCAGTTCTTTCACTCTTTAACATAAATAAACAAACATGCAGCACATAGATCACCCTGACCGGAATGACATGACGTTGACTTGATCAGACTTGTTTTTAATTGATCGCACCAAATATTCTTGCCCCCCAAATGCCGAGTGTGGAGAGAGTCAAGACTCCCTCTCAAAATGCCTTTGCATGGTCATCGGCTAACATGGGACTAAATCTCCTAACGTTGCTCTACTGTCTTGTGGATTAACCTTCAGGTCAAAGGTTCGGCACCTGAGAAAACCACTTGCTTCGGTTTGGGCACCCGAGAAGTATCCCAGACTATACAAAAATAGAATGATCTGTGTGGCGGGTATACATTTGGTGCCTCCTTGTACCACTGTTTGTGTTTAAAAAACAAATAGATGGTAATAATAATAATGATAATACCAAGTGTTCTTACCTTCTATTTAAATTTGGATCAATTAAACTTATTTATTTATTCTCTGAAGTGGCCTACACTGAGTAACGAAACATTAGAAAATCTAAAAATTTAATGTTTCTACTCATTGGAATATTACAAACATATTATTCTTAATAATAACAATCTACTCAATGCTCTATTTATTCGAAATTAGCAAGCAAACCTCGGTAATGACACCTATAAGATGTAAATGACGTAAGATTCGGCGAGACTACATTTACTGATCTAAATGAGTGAAGTCTAATTTCCAAAGTCTATCAAAATACTTCACGACTAGCAGTCGAGATAGATTGAGCTATATGAACACTGCAGGAATAAATCAGAACTTATGAACTCTAGTTGATTCCACGTTGGTTGTACTAGTTTGAATACAATAGATGAAGTCTGGAAAATCCTAGGAGAACCGCAATGCAGAGCTTCACAAAATCCAAGCACTAATTTATTTTGCCATTATGGTGAAGAGATTACAACTTACGACCCTTTTTCGGAAATATTTATTTAATCGGACGCTATTTACATTTAACGAACAATCAATGAGTGCGAAACATGCCAAATACAAGTACACATCGCTTTGGCTTTCAGACTTGATAAGTCAGTCAGCTACAATGTAGGACCAGGCACATTTGTGCATCGGTCCAAGTTACCATACCTCATTAGCACAACAAGATGAACACGGATTCCTAGAAGTAGTTAATTCAGTGGTGGTAATATATAAAGAAAATTTGCATACAAGGACATAGTACAGGATGACAGAATTAGTTTGTAGAAAGAAAGATATGAAACGATTTTAATCTCATAGCTTAAGGGAAGATAAGGAGTGTATACACCGACGCAATTGTGATCGAAATTGTCGACTACTTCACTCCCTATCCTTAGTTCAGGTGTTGACGCAGCCCAGTCCTGAAGCAACAACTGGCATTTAGAGGGGGAGAAACGCATCCCAAACATCCTGGCATCGTTGCTCAGTGTTATCAAAAGGCTGCATTTTATCAGTGTCTTCGCCAAACAGGACTATATCATCTGCGTATTCTAAGTCGATAAGTAGACCTCCTGGTGGGAGATCAATGCCAGAAAATTCAATCGATGAGAGCGTTATTCCCATCAGTAGGTCTATGAATTGAAAGGAAAATAGAGAAAGCGGACAGCCTTGATGGATATCACTTGAGGTTGCAAAACTAGATGACAGTTCGCCATAAGCTCTGACTCGACTAGTGGTGTTCGAGTAAAGAGACTTTACAAGGTTTATGTACTTCTGAGGTACGCCTTTCAATGACAGACACTGCCACAGGATCTCGCAGTCTACGGACTCAAATGCTGCTTTTAAGTCAAGAAAGACCACCATTGTCGGACGCCGATAAGCATTCCTGTGTTCTAGAACCTGACGAACGGTGAATATGTTGTCTATTCAGCCACGAACAGGTCTGAAGCCAGCTTGATTTTCTCGTGTTTGCAGTTCACGAGTCTTTATCAGGCGAGAGATGGTTATTTAGACTAGTATTTTAGATGCTATATTAGTCGAACTAATCCCTCTATGGTTATCACAGGACGATTTCGACCCTTTCTTATATATTGTGACCAGTCAGATGAGATCACGTCCAACTCCCAGATCTTAGCCAAAATATTAGTCAACCTAATCGCTAAAACTGGACCACCATCTTTAAAGACATCTTGAGTCAATCCATCTGGACCAGCTGCTGTTTCTCGTTTCAGATTAGCTATAGCTAGTCTGATAAGACCTAAAGATTAGGCTGCTACACACTAATAGGTACTTAACCACTTCTAAGGTCTTATCAACGCTTACATTCCCATCTGGGAGAATATTCATCTAAATTACCATGACCTGTTTTTACAGAAACTACCACCCATATGTTGGTTCTTTAGTAATTTTATTCATCTCGTCAGAAGATTCACTTTTATACAAGTCTCATTTAGCATGATAGGACTAGATTTACTCGCGATTTTCGGTGTCGTTAAAGACTGAACGCAAATTGGAAAGAACATACGTTAACGATATGCATTGACTGATACATATTGCAAGTTACTGATACCAACAATGCAAAAGGTGTACCTAATTATTCCTCCAAACTAAAATTTCCAAAAATGTTCAAACTTACCATTACTGATTCGTTTGTATAGACAACAACCTCATAGTGAGGAGATAGCTGTTGCAAAAACAAATCTAACGCTGCCCTTTTCTTAAAGCGCCAACCTGAGCGAAACTGTCATTTTTAAACCAATTTATAGATAATACGCTACCTTCCAATCAGGATGAACAAGCACGTCGGTCATCTCCAGAACAAGAGTATATGGTGGTTGGTAATATGGAGGTTGTACTGGATCTGGAAGGAGTTTTTCACTAACAGGATCCTTTATGCTCTACAGACACTGAGTGTGTGCTCCGAATACTTACTTGGTTGAATTCAAGCAGAGAACTGAAAGTCCGACAAAGGTATCCCCAGATAATTGGTTCTGCGAACTATTAAGTACGTATTTGTCGCTTACTTCGACTAAAATTATCTTCAATCTAATCGGAATGTTTAGGAATTACCCACTTACTTCAACTCCGTTATCATCCTTTTTCGGAGGACCTATTAAGCATGAATAACGCACTACCTATCTTACCCCAAGTAGCCACGGCAAACCCAACCGCAAACAAACTGGAACATCCCAAAGTAAAACAACCTATTTTCCATGCATTTTTCCCACTCCACCAAGACTGTTGAGACTTATCTTCCGATGAATCATTTGAGCCTAGGGAGTAATACGCACTGCACTGCTTGAAATAAGTCCATCTATCAAATCTGTTCAGGGCGAAACGTCGCGTCGCCGTTAAAAGCATCACGTCCCTCACAGTTCGTTTTCCCGCCAATTATTATTGTACTAGATCCAAACCGAATTACACGGTGATGGCAAGCTAATTGTCCACTGACATCTTTGACTAGTTTTTATGTGTGGTTCTGTGGTGTTTGAATTAATTAATCATTCTTTTGTACATGTTGAGTGCTCGACTTCGAATTCTAAATACAATACATTCGTTCGTGCTTGTGTCATACTTCGTGATTCAGTTGCGTTAATTCTGGGATTCTTAGTTCATACGATAATTCAAACACTTACAAATATTATAGGTTCTTCCGTGTAAAGTGGAGCAGTTCTTATTTCTAGTGGTTCTTAAGTAGTCGGAAAACGAAATATTGATTGACAGACTTGTAACACCCATGATATACCCGTTGGAACTACTGAATCTAAAGCAGACTTCAGCCTACCTTCAAAGGAATCGTTGTATGCATGAGATCGATTGCAGTTCATTTCCTTTATTCACAAACTTTCTTCTGCGACTACGAGGATGTTTTAGGGTCTTGTGGACAATATAAACTGCAACAAAATGTTCAAACAATAATTAGGGCTTGACAGTAAGCAGGTAAGTAATTGTTGTTGTCCGCCAGTCTGCAATTTCAACCCGCTCACATAAGCTCTGATCTCTCGTAAAAAATCAGCTGTCCAAAGGTACATCAACTACAGGACTAGAATACTTCCCAGGTAGTGACAAGCGAGTACTGTACATTAATTCGTTGTAACCCTGAGTCTTATTTTATGGTACTCTGTAGGATAAATATAATTTTACGGGACATTAGACGGATTATCTGACGGCCAGATCACTGAATACCGAACAGTTCACCGACCCTTGTCAAGGTCAACGTCATAGACCGACCCGTGATATAAAGGTCTCACTCTGTTCCTCGTGCCTACTCTTACTAATATACTTCTTTAATAACGTCGTTTGTGTTGTATGGTCATAAAAGTATTTATATTACTAAAGGACAATCTATGTTAGGTACTAACAATGAGATGTGACTTTGACGTTAGCTAGTTGGTCACACCATTGCCGTCTAACTTGAGGAGGCCCCCAAATCTTTAGACACAGGTCTTTAGTTGGGATCTTTATTTTGTCGTCACTTAGATCGGACGATGTTGTCGATGGGCTCTCCACTTTAGTGGCCCAAGGTCTGACTCCAAGTAGATCGTATGACGGATTGTTATTGAAATATATATGTCGCCTCTTCTCGTATATTTAATCTAATCAAATCGCGTTAGTCAATAAGGGAATTTAATAACTCAAATAACGAAAATGGACTTTTGAATACATATACTTTGTATATGAAGCGAGTGAAACAGAACGAAGCGAAACGACGTGCAGTTGAGAATGCATGTGAGTCAACTCCATTTAGTCAGGCGTTAATCAATATATATAGTCACGCAAAAATAAGTTACAGACATATGATGAGTAGGATAAGAAATGTACACACACATATGCGCTCATATAAAAACATTCCTGATTGATGAGTGAATAATTTACAAGGTCAAAATGTGACTCAAGTGGAATGAATGGATTGGCCTGTCCGAAAGCTAGAATAAGGTATATGGGCCTAACATAATAACCGACACTAAAGATCGTCTAAGTTGGCGATTCGCAACTGCATCCAGCTGTCGATCAGAAGTTTTTTCATTCAATCGTTTAGAGTAGCCATTAGTACAGCTTCCAGGTTTTGCCAAAGTCGTCACGAGAAGGTTGCATGATGACTATTTAGTTCGTGTATACTTGGACAAGGTAACTATTAGCACACTAATAAAACGCGCGCTTTATGAACGAGACGTTTAGTCCTAACGTGATTTCCATTTCTCAAACTTTTGTCGTGTTCTTACGCAACAAAAGTGCCGCTTCTGATTAAAGAATCTGTTCTGAGCTATTCGTTCAATAGATTACTTTTCTTTTTTAGTTTTACCCAATTTAATAGTTAACTGTGGTTTTGCCCCAGCTTACTACTTAATTTTTTTGGTTTTTCACGTCAAGGTTTATTTCAATTTGTCTTAACCGTTCTCATCACCTGTTAATATCCATTTTTACCCGTTTTAGTGTACTGTTTTTTGAGATCCTAGGCTTTTGCTTACTTACTTACTTACTTACTTACTTACTTACTTACTTACTTACTTACTTACTTACTTACTTACTTACTTACTTACGCCTGTTATTCCTCGTGAAGGAACATAGGCCGCTCACCAGCATTCTCCATCCAACCCTGTCCTGGGCAATCCTTTCCAGCTCCGTCCAGTTGTTATTCATCCTTTCCATATCTGCTTTTATTTCCCGACGTAATGTGTTCTTTGGCCTTCCTCTTTTTCGCCTTCCTTCAGGATTCCAAGTTGGGGCTTGTCTCGAGATGCAGTTTGACTATTTGCGTAGTGTATGTCCAATTCATTTCCATCGTCTTTTCCTAATTTCCTCTTCAGCTGGAAGCTGATTTGTTCTCTCCCACAGAAGGCTATTGCTGATTGTATCCGGCCAATGGATGTTTAGTGTCTTGTGTAGACAGCTATTTATAAATACTTGCACCTTCTTGATGATGGTTGTTGTAATTCTCCAAGTTTTAGCTCCGTACAGTAGAACTGCCTTGACATTCGTATTGAAGATTGTGACTTTGATATTGGTTGAAAGTTGTTTTGAGTTCCATATGTTCTTCAATTGTAGGAATGCGACCCTTGCTTTGCCGATCCTCGCCTTTACGTCTGCATCGGATCCTCCTTGTTCATCGATGATGCTTCCCAGGTATGTGAAGGACTCTACATCTTCCAGAGTTTCGCCATCAAGTGTAATTGGATTGCTGTTCTCCGCTTTGAATTTGAGGACCTTAGTTTTCCCTTTGTGTATGCTGAGGCCTACTGATGCAGAGACTGCTGCTACACTGGCTGTCTTCATCTGCATTTGTTCATGTGTATGCGATAGGAGGGCTAGGTCATCTGCGAAGTCCAAATCGTCTAATTGGTTCTCAGATGTTGAGGTCTTCATAATTCAGTCCACCACCAGAAGAAAGAGGAAGGGAGAGAGTAAACAGCCTTGTCTTACTTCGGTCCTTACTTGGAATGCATCTGTCAGCTGTCCTCCATGCACGACCTTGCACTGTAGTCCGTCATATGAGTTCTGGATAATATTGACAATCTTCTCAGGAACTCCGTAGTGTCGAAGAAGTTTCTATAATGTCCTATCTACACTGTCGAATACCTTTTCATAATCAATGAAGTTGATGTATAGTGATGAGTTCCACTTAAACGATTGTTCGATGATGATCCGTAGTGTCGCAATTTGGTCTGTGCACGACCGATCCTTACGGAATCCAGCTTGTTGATCTCAAAGTTGGGCGTCTACTGAATCTTTCATTCGATTCAGCAAAACTCTGTTGAAGACTTTTCCTGGTATTGACAGTAGTGTGATTCCTCTGTAGTTTTCACATTTGCTCAGATCTCCTTTCTTCGGAATCTTGATGAGGTGTCCTTCTTTCCAGTCCATCGGCACTTGTTCCTCCTCCCAAATCTTTTTGAATAGAAGATAAAGCATGCTTGTGGTTGCTTCGATGTCTGAGTCCAGTGGTTCAGCTGGCATATTGTCGGGTCCTGCTGCTTTCCCGCTCTTGATTTGTCTGACGGCCACTCTAATTTCTTCCTTCCTCCCTTGCAGCTTTTTCTGCCGTCGTTGCTAGTTCTTCCACGTATTTCTTCTTGTCAGCTCTAATGCATAACTTGCCTGTTTGCTTCTATGTGTTCAGCCTGTGCTTGAACTTTCTCTGTTCGTGTTCGGCTGTTGTTTATTGCTGCCTTCTTGTTCTTCCTTTCTTTGATCTTGTCCAGTGTTTCCATAAACATCCATTCCTTATGACGGTGTTCCTTTAGACCCAGAACCTCTTGATACGTTGAAGTTAATTCTTCTTTGATACTTTCTCAGTTGTCCTCCATAGTAGTTTCTTCTTCCTCCAGTAGATCCTGTAACGTTTGCAATCTGTTGTTGAGAGCTGTCTTGAATTCGTTGATTTTGTTAGTATCTCGAAGGAAGGCTGTATTGAACCTTTGTGTTTGTGTTTGTCCACTTGTCCAGTTCTTTTTTAGCTTCAGTTTTAAATTGGCTACAACTAGGTGGTGATCTGAAGCTACGTCAGCACCTCTCCTGGTTCTCACATCTTCCATTGTCCTTCGGAATTTTTTGTTGATGCAAATATGATCTATCTGGTTCTCTGTAGTGTGGTCCGGTGAGATCCACATAGCTTTGTGTATACGTTTGTTTGGAAATATTGTGCCTCCTATCACCAATTTGTTGAATGCACACAGATTTGCAAATCCTTCTCCATTTTCGTTTCTCTCTCCCAGTCCATGTCGTCCCTTGATATCTTCATATCCGGTGTTGTCTATTCCAGCTTTGGCATTTAGATCACCCATCAGAAAAGTGAGGTCCTTTCTTGGGCACTTTTCTATGATTGACTGCAGCCGCTCGTAGAATTGATCTTTGATGTCGTCGTTGCTATCATTGGTGGGTGCATAACATCAGATAATATTCATTAAGATCCCCTCCTTCTTTGTTTTGAATGATGCTTTGATGATTCTGGATCCGTGAGATTCCCATCCTACAAGTGCATTTCGTGCTACTTTGGACAGCATAAGAGCGACTCCCTGAGTGTGTGGAGCATTGTCCTCTTCGTGACCGGAGTATAGCAGTATCTCTCCCGTAGCTAGCCTTTTCTGTCCAGCTTGGGTTCAGTGGGTTTCGCTGATTCCCAGTACTGCTAAGTTGTATCTCCTCATTTCCATTGATATTTGACTGGTCTTCCCGGTTTCCCACATTGTTCGAACGTTCCATGTACCTATAAAAAGTTTTGCCCTGGTTGTTAGAAGGGGCATCGGCCTCGTGGCTTCCGAAGGAACTCGGCTTTCACCATAATTCTTCTAAATGAAGACCTTCAAACTCTCAGGGCAGAGTTAAAATGGTTTGAATTATTTTTTCTGGTGAGCGCTTTTTATGCGAGTTGGTTTTCTACGGGATGGGGATG